GGGGGGGGGGGGGGGGGGGGGGGGGGGGGGGGGGGGGAATACATGCCCGGACGGCCTATGACGGGCTTACCTTGGCTGACCTTGGTTTACCTGATTCATGCACTGCCTTACAGGCAATACAGTACCTCATTGTCAATACGGAAGCGTCACGAGTACTGGAACAAACACATAAAGGACTTCAGACCGAGAGGAAAAGGCAAAAGCGTTTTCATGATGTCTTATAAGGGGATCGAATGCGCGGTGGAGTACCATGGTTATTGATGTTGTTCAAAGCAAGCAACCTTCATTTATAGTTGGTGAAAGAGCCCACCAACAACACCAATCAGAAAACAAAGGCACACACGTGTCGTGCGTTGTTGGATTCGCTGGCAGTACGCACAAAACATGCCAAGATCGTATCCCAGGCATATGGTGTTCGGCAAGCGTGTCACCTCACAGCAGCATGTTTTCGGGGGGCGAGAGAGAGTCGCAGATGGCTGTGGAGAGGTACAGCAGTAGCGCTGGGTGTGTAGAGGAGATATCTCATTAGAAAACCGACGATAACCGTGACTTATTTATGGCTAGAGACACTAGCAAGAGCAGGTGACCTATGCTTGACAACAACATCAGGCAGGTGGCGGTGCCATTGGGGATGCTGTCTCCGAAACGCAGCAGCGGTGGACTCTTTGACTTTTTGATCTGAGCCAGGAGAGCACCAAACACTCTCCAGGACAACGACACGCCAAAGCAATCACCACGCCACCATCTCACCTCAAATTCCAGTCCAGCCTTAGTGTCCTCAGGTGCCCTCAGGTTGTTGGTGCGCGCCGGAAGACTGATTTGGCCTGTTGTTCAGGGCAGTTGTTGTTGGGGGGGGACGAATGTGTGCACTCCCCCCCCTAAGGACAAGCACAATCCGAAACCCTCGTCTACGAAGAACCCGAAAGCACGCCGAGCCCTGGGCACCTGCCGCGCTGATGGAAGCACATGTAGACACAGATCCGTCCTCCACCGCAGGCAACATCGTACGCAGCGCTGGAAGAAAAGTGCAAGGGAAGCCTAAGCCTTGACTGGCAGTGGTGAGTCCTTTCCGGTGGTGTGCCATCCACCGATCGAGTACGTGGCAACGAGCGCCAGCATCGGCTAACGGGCGATGTTTATTCTTCAAAAACAGTCGTTGACCATGGCGGTGGCGGCTTTGTGGTGCTCGTTGCCGTGGCCGTCCCTAGCCTTCCCGCCAGGAGCAGCCTTAAGTGCTGCTTCGGTATCAGGGACGACTGTCCCTTTCTCCGGTATGATGACACGGAAAGGTTGTTTCCGTCGTAGGCTACCACAACAGCAGCAGCAGCAGCAGCAACAGCAGCAGCACGGTCGCGGCGGCTACTCGTCGCTCACGTTGAAGCCGCGCGCGAACGAACGCGTTCGTCCGATATCGATGGCGTTGCCCACCAGGTACCAGGTACTCATTCGTCTAAGAGCGCGAATCGGAGTTTTGCTAGAGAGAGAGAGTCTACCGGAGAGCTTCGCGCGCTCTATTTTGTCATTAGTTTTCTTGTGAGAAGACACACACACGCGAATATTATGAGAATGGCAAGTTGTCTGTTCCGACGATATTTTTTATCAACACACCAACAGCCAGTTTTGTACACAGGTTCTCCAACAATCGAGCAGCAGTTGTAATGTACTGTAAACGCCTGGCACTTGCCACCAGAGAGCGGATTGCAGCATTTACGAGCAGAGGTGTCCTCCAACCGCGTTGCATGAACATGTGCAAACGTGAGGATTACCGTTCAAAGTCAAGCCACTGCTGCTGCAGTCGTCGTTCGAAAACATGCTGCATCCCGCCCGCGGTATGGACGAGCTCATTCCGTACCCATGAATTTTGGGTGCGCGGTCAGCACAACAGTCGCCCGCAACAACCAAGCGTAGAATGCACAGCAGCGAATTTTCAGCAGTCACAAAGTATCGTCGGAGTCCTCGCTTAGCTTCAGCTTTCTGTTGCCTGTGATCCTCCTACAGTACAACAGGTACGCCGTGTATCTACATACGTATGAGTTTGTTTCAACCTTCTACGCATATGACGATTGGAATGCCGCGCGAATCATGTTCTGCAAAGCACGTCACTACTTGTACGAACCGTGTGTGTGCAGGATCCCTGCACCGTGCAGCTCGATGAGACGTAGCTGCAGTTGTGATATACAGAGAGTTAATAGTATCTGATGGGCCCATGAAAGCCTAGCAACCCATGAGGATCGACATTTCTTTTTTTTTTGTGACAACTCGTTGCACGGCTGTACACGGTAACTCTCTCGGAGCCCCCGAAAACTACAAAAACGGTCACACACACACACAGATTATCGGAACATCGAAACCAAAACAACCGTTGACTGTCCGCATAGGATTCGTTCCGCGCTGCGCTTGGTCTTTGCCGTGTATACCGGAAACGTTGTTAGGTGCCTCCCTCTGTCGAATCGACCAAAGTAGCTTGAACTCGACATGGGTCCCACTGCTGTCAGTACAGCAGTTTCTTTCTTTATCACAGAGGTCAATGGGTGTGCTTACAATGCACGGCGTAAAAATCGTTTTTTTCGTTGCTTTGGCTAATTGGCCCGCGCAACTTGTGCATCGGCGAATGGGCCTGCCGGCCGCCCGGCGCACGTGGCATACACAGGCCACCTTTCGTCGCTCTCGTGACGTTACGTTTTGGAGTCGCCGTAATCAAATCTCACCCTTGCGTACGCATTCACGCGTGAAGTGACAAGAGCCGGGTGCCACTTGATATCGGCCTGACCTTGTTTCCGAATACAGCATCTACCTTGCTTCTGCTTTGAGGCGACAGACACCACTAGCCCCTCGCCGTTGGCCTTTTTGCCTCTTTTCGTGTCCCGATGCGGTCAGGATTCGCGTTAGAGTAGCCTTCGGCCCTGCTTTTTCGATTTTGTCTTGCCTGGTAGCACTCTTTTCAGTCGTTTCTTCTGTACCCCCCCCCTCCTGGACACTTGCTTGTACCTTGTTTTCGACTGTACTCGACGTCGCCTGGTGCTTGCTTGGAACGGGTTGATTCCCGCGCACCGGCGGTGCTGTTCTAGGAGTCGCAGTGGGCACAGCAGCGGCGTGAACGATGTCTTCGTCGCTAATCGTCAGCTTATTCTTTGGGTTGTGGCTGTGCATATGACGATGGATTATGTGCACGTGACCGAAGAGCCGTTCTCCAAGGTGGATGCTCTCCTGCTTTCCTCCTCGCCCCGTGTGCCCGGGTGTTGGCGCTCGACCTTGCCAGGTTCACGAATATAGAATTAAGAGTTGCGCAATTGACACAAGGTCGTTCTCGAGGGTGGATTTTTCTCTAGTTTTTTGCGTGACCTCGCCTGCAGATGCATACATACGTCTCGTCAAATGTCTCGAAAACAGAAAGCGTCGCAGTTGACTAGACACATTTTACCGAGCGGTCTACGCCCGTCCACGACAAGTTGTTCACTTCCATGTAGCCGCCATACCATTTGAGCATTTTCCCATCACAATCCGTGTATCGAATTTGTCCGGGATTCTCTCCCGCTCGCACGCTCTTCTTTTTTTGTGAGTGGGGTTTCACAGCAGGCGAGCGAGCATTGCCATCTTCACGGCCGGGATGTTGTTCGGGTGCTGTATCAGCTCCCCGGTGTCGGCCAACATACGCCTATACAGGTGAACCTTCGTATTTGGCTCTGTTGTAGTGTGACTGCGTGCCGTGTGTGTGTGTTTTTTTTTTTGCTGGGCCTTCGTCCGTCGTGCATACTCGAACTCTAGAGACAGGACCCCCATCGTTCAGTCTTCGCCGCGCCCCCCGCCTGTAGAGAAATCCCGCGGAAAGAGTGTACACACATTAATCGTCCCTCCGTTCGACTGGTGACGCAATTGCGCGGTGCGGTCTATTCCATTTATTGTCAACACGCGCTTGCACCCGGCATCCTGCCCGCCTGCAGGACGGTGCCCGACATCCCGAAGTCTATGTTCAAGAACCATGCCACGTTAAATGGCAACGTGGTTACCGTGTCGGACGGTGACAGTATCCGGGTGAGCGAGGACTACAGTTTTCGGCCGGGTGCCTAAGAGGCATGCGTGTTTGCGCGTCCTGCCATCAGTAGCATGGGCGGAGTTAGCTGGACCAGTCATGTCTGCGTTGTGTGCGTTGTGCATTCAAGTTTGACACTGCGTCTCGGGACCAAATGAGAGTACTTGCCTTCTGACTGTTCCGGCCGCTTTTTTGAATATGTTTGAGTCACTACGAGATACGTTTTGAGGGTCGAGTCATTCGGACGTCACGGCCCGTTGCCCCAAACCATCAAAGGTGGCGTTCTACAGGCCTTGTGGAACGTCGTGTAGGAACCTATTCACGACCCTAGTTACATGACGCAATGAAATCTGCACGTGGCACATTCGAAAGGGCCTCTAACACACCCTGGGTTAAGTATGTCGACGCCACGGGCGCCGAAAGCGGAGTAAAACAATCAAGGCGCGCGAAAAGAAGCATTTTCACCCTGGCTTGTGCCGCATGCGTCATCAACGGAGAGCACACACCTCCAAGTGAACGCGGGCAAACCCCGTCCACATCTTTCACTCCGTAGTTGACGCATCGAGGCCAACGTTCGATTCTACCACCCCCACCAACGTTCTCTCTCTCGGACGCAAGTGAGGGGGTTGTGGCGTGCTCCTATCCAGAGTTGAAAGCATCGCTCGTGATAGGAACTGTTGATTCGTCTGCAGAGAAGACGTTCAAAGAGCTCTATCTTTAAGTAGAAAAAGAGCCGGCAGAATGTTTTGTCACGACAGCTCAGTCGTGTGCCACGCTTCTATCTCTTGATGAAAGCACCCCACACCCAAGCCGTTTGTACCCCAAACAGACCCGTGAGTCCAGATGACGGCACCGAAGGTTTCACCCCGGTACGCCTATTACGTTGTGAGATATGTACACGTTTGCCATCGCCTCTCGGGTTGATGCAAATTTTGGCCGTTGGACCAAGTTGGATAATATCTACCTGTTTTATTTTTCCGCCTGCGTGAGACTGCGGGTAACGTCACCTCTTGTTGCACCCCAGGAGGGTGCGCACCGCTAGTATCCATGCGTAGTGTTGAGGCTACGGTAATATTCGGGGAGATGGCACCGGTCGGGGAGATGGCACCGGGGGGGGGGGGGTACTCATAGTCGTGCATGCCGTAGTCGTTAGACCATTGACCTCGCATCCCTACAAAGCCGGGACGGAGCACGCCGGGTTCTCACCGGACCAGGCT